TGTGTGTGTGTGTGTGTGTGTGTGTGTGTGTGTGTGTGTGTGTGTGTCTGTGTACGTGTGCGAGTCTGCTTGCGCGCGTGCGTGAGTGCGTGTAAGAGCGTGTCTGCATGGGTGTGATTGTGTCAATAATTGTACAGATATTGTCGTTAATCCAAAAAAAAAAAAAAAAAAAAAACAAAAACAAAACAAAGCAAAAAAATATGCAAAAAACAAATTAATTAAATTTATGAAAAATGAAATCAATGAAGAAAATACCCCTAAACTTAAGAGATAGAGGGAAAAAAATTAAAAATATATATATATATATATATATTTAAAAAAATAAAAAAAACATTTGTAATTTTTTGTAACGGTATTATAAGTGTTGTCTATGTATGTGTGATATTGTATGAATTTTACATACACATAAGTATAAATTGTGACTCTTTTATTTATTCAATTTTTTTATACATTAAAATTCTTTCATATTTTTTTGTACTTCAATTTAATTTTATCTGATTTATTAAATGTCTTGTATGTACATCTAAGATTTATATTAGTTAGTAATATTTGTAATATTTTTTCGCTTCTTTAATATATATATATATATATATATATATATATATATATATATATATATCACAATATAATAACATTGGGATCTATGAACATGCAGCTTTCGATAAATTAACCTAAATATTGAATGAATCATTTTTCTGATTTATATAGAAGAAAGAAAAATTCCAAGGATGATCTATAATAATCCAAAAATTTCGGAGTTATCATCAGATGCATAATTAAAATCATTTATCCGATTGTTCTATTATGCATAACCTGAATTTAGTGAAAATAATCACTCACTCAATTCAATTCAAAATCATATATATTTCACAAAGTAGTCCCTATTATATATTTGTGTATGTGTATATCAGTTCGCTGATTGACCTTTTAGATAGATAATTTTATTGCAACTATGAGCTCTGTTTAGTTCAACTTTTTTCTTTTTTTTTTTTTTTTGAGCTTCTTTTAAAAATGAATACAGCCACGGACTTGTTAAGCGTAATAAAATTTTGGTTAATTTCCTTAACGTATACATGAAATTGTAAATGAGTTTAATAAAGGTGGTCGGTCTCCTTACTTTGTCGCAAAAGCCGTTTATTCAAATAAATTTTCAACATTTGTTATTCCATTTAACGTAAGAGTGGTGAGACAGACCTTACATCATCAATTTTAAAAAAAATTTTATTTTGTTGTATTGTGTATTTTGCGTAGTTCATAGAACTTAGTTACAAAACTAGGCCATGGTTATGGTAAGCTGGGTGCTCTCTCTCTCTCTCTCTCTCTCTCTCGCGGCCCTCTTTTCTTTCTGTTAAAAATCACTGTAAGGCTGATGTACGTTGTTTCCGTTTCTGGGCATGATTTATTGATTTCAAATGGATTTCAAAGAAAAACACAGCCGACCGGTAAATACCCTACATCACATTACAGTTATTTATATAATGACTATTTAAGATAAAGGTGCTATATGGTTAGTCGTCGAAAAAGTAATATGATACGGAGCATTTTCGATAGCGTTCGGCCTTGGAGTAAAATAGGTCAGTGTACGAAATTTCATCAAAATATCGCAAAAATTTGTGACCTATAGATGGAATGCCAAAAGGGATAAGACGGACAAGCAGGCAGACAAGCTCAGTACAATGAAAGGTGGATCTATTGCAAGTCCTTCAGATTGCTGCAATATACCCTTATAGTCTATACAATATAAAAAGCGCCTCAATTTACTTCGATTGAAGACGTCGCAGAGAGAGATTGAAAGCCGCTGCTAATGCTTGCCTGATGCTAATGCTGACGCAGGTACTGAGTAGTTAATAAATAATTTGTACCATGAAAATAATCCAAGACGTGCTATTGCACTGAACTTGGCGTGCATTCCGAAGGCAACGGCCAACCTAAATATCGCTTGTCTGCTGAATCAATAGACGAAACGCTTGACACCGATAAATCGTTTGTGCCAAAGAGTTATATAATTCTTCTAAGTTTTAGCAAGATATTGAATTTTGTTCATTCCCATTTAAGCGATAACTCAAGTCGATTTGAAAAGTAACCTGAGAATTGTTTCAACTGCTTGGAGCCCGTTTATGACAGCCCAGTTATACGGTATACGGATAAGGAGTACAAAAGGCTCAACTGTTATATCGTCTGTTGCTGTGATCTTCGCTATTAAAATAATTTGATTGCATTGGATTGGATTTTAGCGGCAATGTTAGTGACTTTATAAAGACAAAGCTAATGTAGTCTACATTGGTCAGAGTTAAATTGCGTTTCTCAGGCAGTTTAAATGAATTACGGGCTCGTATCGATTGGCAGGAAAGTTTCTTTCTCCCCGACTTTCGTGGCACTATTTGTTAGGTTGTTAGTTACGTTGTGTTGAGCAGGGGTAAGCATTTTGATTTCATACAGCATCTTAGTTACTCTTATCAGAATCAGTGTACTATGCTTAGCTTTATGTTAAAAAATTTTCATCGCTGGATAAGTGAAAACGTGGCACAGGCAGTTTTTTCTTAGTAAATTATTCTTTATTACAGTACGTGTGGAACTCGCTTTTTATATGTATCACTATTAAGTTGTTAAAGAAATTTTTATTTACTTTTTCGAAAAAAAAAACGAAAAAAAATAATTTAAGATAATTTTGAAAGTTTTGTCCAATTGCACTATACGTGTGTTAACTGTCTATAACCACTAATTACATCATGATTTGTCCTCCCGTCTGTGCCGGATTTCCTCACAAAATTTTATCATTATTTGAATTTGTATTTGTCGTAACGATGCATTTTCGGAAAATATTTTTATCATTTTGTCAAGTCATTTTGTCATCACCCAGGGTAGGTAGGTAGGTAGGGGCAGATTAATTTTGCAAAAACCTTTTCAAACGGCCAAAAGGAAGCTTCAGACATCCCACAAAATACAAATAAATGTTCTTCGTGACTAGCATGAAATTCTGAATCGATGCAGATATGTCCGTCTGGTCTTTCGTGTAATTTCTGTTGTAAGCATCCTTCTGGCTGCAAAAATCAAAGTCATCGATTTCTTACACGCATCTTGCAATTGAAAATCGGTGAAAGGACATACCTACGGTACAGAAGATTTTTGTTTTTCAGCGAGAGTAAAATATTGGATTTTCATTTATTACCTATAAGCTATAGCAGATAAATGCACAAAATTTGAAACGCATATTCTACGGGCGATGCTGTAGGGCGTTTGCAAAAATTGAGAAAAATTGACCTTGCCTATCCAATATGATCAGTGTATCAAAATGAAGTTTTTTTTCAATACCATTATAAAGCGCCGAAAGAAGCTTCGAAAACTCTATAAGGTATATATATACTTGGTCTTGATTAGTTTGAAATTAAAAATGCACTTAAATATGTCCGCGTCTTCGTCTATCCATCTGCATTCTTCCATTAGCGACAATGACGAGATCGTGTATAAATTTGAAATCTTCCAATGGACACGCCTAAACCGCCCACGGCATAGAAAAAATCAGCCGCGCCCGCTTCGCGCATGAAAATTCAGTTCTTTTACCTGTTTTTTTTTTAAATCTTTTTTAGGATAACGGTAATGGGTATAAAAGATTCGATCGCGATTCGATCATTAATTCTATAGGTGATTGACTATATTAAAAATTTGAATATGAGACACACTATATTCGCTTAAAGGCGAGTATGAGTATTGATTGTCAGTCACTGCCGTGAGCCATTCCCCGTAAGAACTTTTAAGATGATATCGATGCCTATTTGTGCCATATATTCGTAATAAAATATATAGAGATATTCAATATCCAGGAGCGAGGATGTTCTTAGGCGAAACACGCCCGTTTATATTATTTGATATAAGCCACAGCCACAAGTTTCGAATTTATAAATGACTTTTTCATACTTTAACATTTCAAAACCGAAATATATAGTGGGATAACGATGCATGCATGAGTATCTTGAGCAGAGTGCTGCGTTTGTCTCTGATCCATAGGATCCATAGGAGTATTTCACAATTAACTAATTAATGACATTCCCAACTTTTGGGTGATGGATATATACATATATATGTATATATATATAACAGTTTTGCATTAACATTCCAAAGTTTTTTACATCTTCAGTTTTTTGTATACTCATCAATATAATCAACATGAATTTAGTCAATAGATAAAAGTTTCCAGAATTTCCTAACCGGAAATATATTGATAAAGAGAGGAATTCATAATAAATAAAGGCTTATGCAAGTAAGTTTATTCATTCTTTTCTTAAACCAATCAACCTTTTTTCATTGCCATTGAAACGCAACAAACCTGCAACAGCATAAAAATCTTAGGCTTACATATATGTAATTAATAAAACAAAATAATTAAAAAGTAACATAAACAAATAAACAAAAAAAAAAATAAACAAAAAATTAAGTGTAATAATGTTAAGCCACATTAAAGCCTTCACACACACACACACACACACACACACCCACACACCCACACCCACACCCACACACTAACAAACAAACAAACAAACACACAAACATGCGCACACACTATCAGGCATGCACACACTCCCGACAAACTCCTTCTCTCTGCGTTATACTTTACTAAAAAACCAAATTAATAATTAAATAAATTAAATTAATGTCAAACTATGTATGTGTGTCTATGTGTATATGTGTATTTATGTTTATATAGATAAAAGCGAAACAAAGCAAAATTTAATTAATACAATTTTTTTAACAACGACCATACTTTAAATGATTATGATTAAAACTAAAAGGAAAACAAAATGCAAAAACAAAAAAAAATATATATTGTATGGTTAGGTGTTAATTTTAAAAAATAAAACTAAAAAAAAAAAAAAAAAAAAAAAACCGGAAAAAAACCCCCAAATATATACTAAATACTACGGAAAAGAAAAACATGAAGAAGAAGAGGAAGAAGAAGAAGAAGAAGACGACGAAA